TTTGGATGAAAACACTTTTCAAAAATAAACTTCCCATATTACGAAGAATTCTAAAATTACACACCGTCTTTCACTCATTTTCAGATTTTAGACTTTCTGATCTTACTCAAATATACAAACGATCGCAATATACTCGTATAATGTATCGTGTTCACATGTGTATTTGGTTCAAAGAGTAAATTTGTATGTTTATAGATACTTATAATTTCTTCATGTGATTTCTTGTGAGCAACTGTAAAACATACGTTTTTCATTTGGGCACAAGCATAATAATAATTATAAAATAAAATATCTACAAAAACAAGCTAAGGAACAAAATACTCGTATATAGAAACTGAGAAAACTACTCGTAAGAAACATAACATAACACGAGCCACAGTGGAAACCTGATTCTTTTTGATATTTAAAGCTGAAAAAATAAAAAAGGATTTGTTAATTTAAATACGAATATCTCAAATAAACAAACGTTTAAACTGTTTTTGTTGAAAAAGGGCCATGACTTAGTCTTTATGTTTAATATATTTACCTGGTGCATACTCGTACCTATATATCTCTTATTATGCATGTGAGTTATGTGATTAATTCAAACTTAATAATATCAACTCCAAAATTTAATCAAAATTAAATATTTAAAATTTTTTTATATGACTTTGGTAATCTAATGCTAAATGTAGTATAAATCACGCATTTAGTGGTGTCAGTATCAGATCCATAAGTTTTGATTTGAGTCTGGTCTAAGAAAAACATATGTAACAAATGTTTCTATTCGGTTTATAACTTGCTTGCAAAATTACTGACACTTAAAGAAGAAGGATTTAAAGTCTAAAGTTTTAAAGAACAGAATTTAATACATACATATGCATTAACCAATTCGAATTATTCACAAAGGTAATATCTAAATAATATTTACTTGGATTATAAACACAAATTTAATTAAATTTTTTTATAACCATAAACCATAAGAAAAAATGCGCATTTTCAAAAACCGACAAGTAAAGCTTATGAAGAGCAATTAGATATTTCAAATGATAAAAAAGTTTAAGCTTTTGCGATGGATTTGTATGCAATGTTTATGCAAATACAACAAAATTGCTCCAACTATCAATAAAGCCGAAGTATTTAGCACTCCAAGCTCCTACTACTAAGTTAAACTTGCGATCCGTTATACTACACGTATATAGGTGGGATCAGAAATTAGTTCAAGATACACAATTGTCTACCATTTCAGTGTACAACCAAACTACGAACATTTTATCATCTCTCCCAACTTGTAATCATACCGAAACCAGAGTGGAAAGTTAGACGAAGCCACCAGAAATTTGAACACTGTTATCCAAAACTACTTATTTATCTAATTGATATTGGAGTTCCGCATATAAATGTGATGGATCCGTATCTCTACTTATGTAGACTACAAACATGCATTTTTAAAAACACGTAAATCTTAAAACATATGCCGGTTACACACAAAAATCAGTTAAATGGCATTTAAAACACCTTAGTATCTGCAGTTACTGTTGCTGAGAGGCTGTTTAACTTAAAGATAAAGATCAACGCACAATAATCTTATGACGTAATATAATATATACTCTTAGAAAAGAAAGTTATACACAAGTTAAACCCAATAACACTGTAATCCCATAGTGCGAGTCTGTTAAGTATCAAACGATACATATGGTATTTAAATGGACCAAACTAAAAAAGACCAAACAATTATAACCTGCCATACAACCAAAAAAATAATATATCTTACTTGTTCCTCTTGCGAAACTCTCAGCCTAATTTAGAGAACATAGTTCTACTGACAAAGTTATGCTATAATTGGTCTCAACATATGTCACAAAACTTAAGAGTACTGCAAGTATCTCCAACAAAGAAATGCAATTAAAATACTAATCCAAAGCACTTTAAAGTATGTATTATTAAATCTCTTAGACATACTTCAAAACTTTTTCAGAAGCTTAGCATATATTTTATAAAGAAAAAACTAAACCAAATAACTAAGCAAAATAATTCCAATGAGCTAGTATAATTGTTAACCTTTGGAAAGGATTCAGGTTTAATACTTGAAAAATAGAATTTAAGTAAAATTTAAATGAAGTCTAATAAACAATTGTTATTGTATGAAAGACGATCACACAGGAGAGGAGCAATTCCTACTATTGCTACCCTATGTTGTAAATTTAGCTTATGGTCGACAAGACAGAATGAAATGGGTCACAAAACGGGGAAGTCAGTTCCGACAGCTCATCCCTTAAAAACTTTGGCCATTTCGTTGTATGTTTGAGGCCTACTTCCATAAACTTTATGTGGTAATTGTTTTAAATCTGAAAATCTGAGTGATTAACATTTAAATACACATAGGCAAATTAACATGGTAATACCAGTATAACAATAGTTCTAACAATCTAAGTATGTAATCCATAGTTCAACTCACATTATCTTATCTCACCTGATTCTCTTTCAAAGTTCTCAACTCTTATTCTTATTATTAACTCTAAATAATAGTTTACAATTTAAATCTATTATTTTTATAGTATACAATACTCCAACTTTTACCATCATTTGTAGAAATTGTCTAACACAAGTATACGTAATAAGTATATCTAATCTAGTAAAAAAACGATGATTATGTGTATTATGTGTAGTAAACCTTGTTTAACTCTATCGGAGACTACAAACTTCAAATAATTTATTTGGTAAACTTAAGACGTATTATACGATGACAATCCATAATTTAATTAAACTTATTTTTGACAGAAGCTTTTATTTCAACTGATAAGAATCTTCTGTATATAAGGAGTAGTATCCTATATTTCAGCAATGACTGTTGTCACTTTCTTATAACTAAATTAATTTCAGAATATGTGATTTTGAAACGAAAGCCATCATATTGAATTACCAGACAAGAGACTACCAAATTTAAACATACCACAGACAGCGAAACCATTTAGTTTAAATTTTATACGGAACGATATTGACTAACTATATGGTCATTAACAGCATAATAGTTATAAATCATCGAGATAATTATCTCTTCTTAAAATTAAAGTGATATGTGTCTATGAGCTCTATATGTGTAAATTTTTTTCCGTACTCTAGAGGAAACATTCTTGTTTCACATAACTTTATAATTTATGATTTGTTAAATTATTTGATGGTACAGCAAGTAAAGTTGTAAAGTTGCTTAATTAGTTCACTTTATATTAACTATTTTTCATTCACTAACAATATTTAGAAATAAATTAACTAGAATATTTTCATTTCGAGGACTCATACCCGTTAATTTTAATCTATAACTTGAATGAAACATATTAAGGAACTTTTTCGCTTTTACTTATAAATTCTTAATACCAATTCTCTTCTTAGGTTAATTATAACATAAACAAAGAATAAAGGATCCAATTTCTCTTTTGTCGAGGATTTTTTTTATAACGCTCTTAGCTCATAATTTGTCTTTTAAGTGAATTATTTAATAATAAGCAATATAAATATATTTAACCCACTGTACATATTTCATTTTATAGCAACAATTCACGTATACCTATCACTTTCTATGTATAAATTTTCACGTTTACACATTTTGGTTGAGATTTGAGATATTCTTGAATCTGTTTTCACAATTTTTGTGTATCTCATGTTCATGTAATGACGATCCGATACCAACGCCAAGTTTCTTTCGGTTTTCTTCAATTTCTCAGACTGAAAATAGAATTTCTTAGGCCATATTTCGAAACTTTGTGTGAAATTCGATGGTGTGACGCAAGTGGGTATATGATATTCTACTCTATAAACAAATTCAAAATTTTGCTTTATTCTTTATTTTTAATTTGTTTAGAACATTATTCAGCTTATAAAAAAAATATTGTTTCAACATTTTTAGAAATAGCCACGATTGAAAACTATACGTTTTAAATAGACTTAAAAATTGATTGATATTTTTTGAAGTTGAAAAAGGGACATATACGAGTTATTTATAATATAATAAAATAATAATCTATCATTAATTTACTTTTCAACACCTATAAATTATTTAATATAACAAATTTCTATCTAGGAGTATAATGAATTTGATATCAAAAAATTATGTCCTGCAAGAGTTAGAGCAGAACTATTTTACCTTTGCAATGCAATCAATCTTCTGCCGAGCCAGCCATCATTTTCTCTTACACTTCATATCTATATCTATACAAACACTTAAGCGCTAACTACTATAATACACTCTAAATGGTGGCAAGTCATAACCGGAAAATGCTTATGCTGGAATTAATAGTAACTATTTCACAGATAATGCCATAAAAAGCAGTTCAGTCAAAAAATTTTGTACACCAAAGCCTTATTGTAGAATTATAGTGTTATTCCAAAACTTAATCTCTAAATAATAGCTTGATAAAAACCGAAAGACGTCGTTATTGGCTTAACACTTCAAGTATATTATTTCCATAAGATGATTCTACCTCAGGTCAAAGATTGTCATCTTTTCCGATAATAACTGCTAATCAGTTTTTTGTTTAATTTAGGCAAGAGAAGAATACTGGGGTGAGAGTTCATATTTTCGTTACTCTCACCCTTATTTAGGATGCTATATTATCTTTTGACGATTGGGATCAGATACAGCACAAAACATGAAGTATATTCGTAATTCTCTATTCAACTATGAGATTAGATCTTACTGTACTATTTAATTCATGTGTTCACGAACAAATTTATATAGTTTTGAAATAGTTAGTCAACCGATTATATATAATAGGTTCTCGTTTAAAACTAATAGATTCTCTTCAATAGACTAATATTGTAGAGAAAAAGTAACTGATTTATTTGATACGTTCCACACTTCTTCCAGAGAACTTTAATAAATTGCATTTAGGGATTTATTCAATTATTTACTTCTATTTTGATTAAGTTTATAAAAAGGAAAAAAATTTATCTATATTTTTGAGTTTCACTGTTTTTGTATATTTTTTATGATAAAAATTATTATTTATATTTTCAGCAAAATCACCAAAGAATTAAAACATGAATTTGTACATATAAAAAAATAAATTAAAAAGAGAATTAAGAATTGCATATCCATTCTGTATAATTATTCAAAAGTGAACAAAGAAATAAAAAACTAACACAAAATGCTCCATCATCCCGCCACTGATTTTTATGACTTAGCCGCTGCAAATGCGGCTGTACTGAACGCACGACAAACGCCTCCCTACAGTCCAACTAGTCTGAGTAGTTCCAGTTTAACAAATAACAATAACAGCTTAAGCAGTAATAACAATCTGGATATGTTGGGACACAACGGCGCCGGTAGTGGCGTCTCCAATAACAACAATAACGTCCACATGGGCAGCAATAGTGGAAGTAGCAATGGCGCCGGCGGACGTGAATCTTTGCCTAGCTTTGGATTTACACAGGAGCAAGTGGCTTGCGTTTGTGAGGTTTGTTTGAACCTATAACTTTAGTCAAATTTATAAAAATATGTTATATTTGATAATGTATAAAAATGTAAACTTTGAGATCCAAATAAACTCTTGTCAAACTCTACATTATTATCTACAGGTCCTGCAACAAGCTGGTAACATTGAAAGACTGGGTCGATTTTTATGGTCATTGCCACAATGTGATAAACTGCAATTAAACGAGTCTGTGCTGAAAGCAAAAGCCGTTGTTGCATTCCATCGCGGACAATACAAGGATCTGTATCGTCTGTTGGAACTTCATCAATTCTCACCGCACAATCATACCAAACTTCAAAGCCTCTGGTTAAAAGGTAAACTATATTATCCTGGTGTCGTACCTAGCGTTACTAAAAATTAAAATAAAAAAAAGTTTGTTTCGGTTTGATTTTGTTATTTATATTTTTATTTTTTATAATTGTAGCGCATTATGTAGAAGCCGAAAAACTGCGCGGAAGACCGTTAGGTGCTGTTGGTAAATATCGAGTACGTCGTAAATTTCCACTGCCGCGCACAATTTGGGACGGTGAAGAGACGAGTTACTGCTTTAAGGTAGGTTAAATGAACGAAAGTAACTTTTTTGTTTCAATCGTTTTGAAGGTACTAGGGGTATCCTTTGTAAGGTAAATAAAAATCAAACAAAGTCGAAAGCCACAAGGAAATCGTAGCAGTGTTCTGTGCAACAAAATTTCTCCCTCAATTTGAAGTTAAGTTACCCAGGGTTTTGCTTACACGCAAGGAAACTGGGTTAATGTAGAATTCACATGTGTACATTTTATGGATTTGAAGTACAATTTCCTGTTTAAATGATTACATAAATGAAGTTATTTTTTATTGCACAAAAGGCTTCTTTTGATTACCTTTTGTTTGTTTTTTCTTTTAATTTTTTGAATTTTTTTGAATGAGAAGAAATTTAATTAGCGACTTAAAATGATAACTTTCAGTTTTTAGACATTTAGGAAATCGAGATAAGTCCAATAAATAGAAACAGTTTTCTTAAAAATCTCAGAGAAATTTTAATTTAGAAAGATTAAACATCAAAAATAAAGATTGAACTATTCAATTAAGAACTGCTTTCCCGGTACTATTTCAAAACGCATTTGACCTTTATTTTAATATAAATTCCATATTTTATAAAAGAGTCGTTAAACATATTATATATGTTAGTATATAGAATTTACAACTGTGTCATCCCAATGTCAATACTTTGTATTTTATATATATATATATATATATTTCAGGAAAAATCTCGATCAGTATTAAGAGACTGGTACGCACATAACCCATATCCATCGCCACGTGAAAAACGTGAACTAGCAGAGGCTACCGGACTGACAACTACACAAGTAAGTGTTTTTATGAAGTAATATTATATGTAGTTTACCATACTTAACTTTACAAAAATAATAATTTAGACCGAAATATTGTTTTACATGCTTTTCTTGAAAAATAAAATTTATCATACTTTTAAAATTTATAATAATACTCTATCAAAATCAATTACGATGTGGCACTGCCAGACTTATTATTCCAATAATTGGTTCCATTAATCAAGACGTTGATTTTCAGTTTCTTCTAATAGTATATATCAAAAATGTATGTTACACTACATGTGAACTATAGTTCTTTTGAATTTATTATTACTAATTCCGTTTTCAATTGGTTAATCTGGGGTAACTTTTTCTATCGAGATTCACATTTAGTGCAATTTTCATTTTTGATTGGTAAATATCCAGCGAATAACAATTTTATTTTTTCACACATTTTTTTATTCATTAAAAAATTCTAGTTTCAATATTACATTATATTAAAAATATTTTGTAAAATTTTAACAGTATAACACTTTTAGATATGGGTACTTTGGGCCTATGAGACATAAATCCAAAAAAAATACCTTCGTCCAAGAAACGAAAAAAAAACATATATTGCATTTTCAATATTCTAATTTTAATATGTTATATATGTTAATATGAATATGTGAAATATCCTTTAATTAGATATCTAATATATCCTTGTAGGTAAAGATGTGGTTAATATTTGTGCGGCCCGCGACATATTTTTAATCTACTACAATTACGCGAATTTTCTTCTTGTGTACTTGTAAAACCACACTATTTTATTTTTAGAGTATACCAGGTGAATAAATTTAAATTGATAAATAATTAAAATTAAATTTAACATTAAAACCGTGTTTTTATTTTTGTTGAAAACAACGTTGAACTCATGTATTTCTTTTTTGCGGCCCTCCAATCTGTACAATGATTGGTATTGACCCGCGATCGCATCTGGTCTGGACAGTCCTGCTTTACAGCGACCTATCTACTGTGTTTTTTCAACAAAAATGCACAAATTTTAGTATGACTACACAAACGCAAGAGCATTATTCGAAAATTCGAGATATGTGGTACATATAATTCTGCTTTTATATTACGAAGCCTTCAGGCTTGATATTTACCTTTTAAGCGTCAAGACTAAAAAAGATATTCTTAATGCTCTCTCTCTCTCTCTCTCTCTCTCTTTCTCTCTGCAGCAAAATATTTTTGGGTCAAAGAATTATGGAACTAAAGTTATTGTGATTAAAAATTGGAAAATATTGTAGGGGAAAAAATTGATATTAATAGGTTTATTAACCTTGAGTTATTACTAATTAATAACACTACAATTGGTCTACAAAGTAGACTGAAATAAAAGAAAGTTTCTATTTAAATATTTTTCATATTATTTAAAGTAATATAAAACAAAAAAACGATTAATTTTAAAAATTTATAGGCTAATTGGTCAACAGTTAAATAATAAACTTTTTAGAAATATTTATTTGTGTTATTTTTACCGATATTTCGACTATAGTTTATAGCTTAGATTATTTAGATTATAGATTTAGATTATAGTCGAAATATCGATAAAAATAAAAGAAATAAATATTTTGAATAAAGTACTAATGTTGCTGGAAAGCTACACTTTCTTTGTATGGTGACAAAGAAGTTTTATTTAAAATTTAGAGGGTTTTCGAATATCAAGAGGGGTTTTTTGTATTTGTCCTTTATTTCTTTCTTTGCTATTCGAAAACCCTACAAATAAATATTTTTAAAAAGCTTATTATTTAACTGTTGACAATTGGCCTAAAAAAAAAAACAAAATTACTTTTAAAAAATTTTTTGGTCATTAAAACAATAAATTATTAAAAAATTTTTAAAATATTTAATTCTCTCTTCTGCGTAATATACATACATGTATTACAATATACATATAACTTATCCACATATTTCATATGAATATGGCTTTCTCTTTGCCTCCCATGCCTTTTCATATTTGTAAAAAACAAATTAAATTAATAAATATTTTATTTGAAATAATTTTATACACTCGTATAAAATTAAATATTAAACATAACAAAAGCAAAAAATCTTAAACTTTTAAAAACTAAAAGATAAATACTTTAAGTCTTATTGCTATTAATCATAATAAAAAGTTGAAAAATAATTCAAAAATATTAACTCATTAAAGATCATTCGTCATTTTCAACCTAATTTATTCATCTTTGAAATAAATTTTCTTTTGTATTCTTAATGTAATTTTACAGGTTTCCAATTGGTTCAAAAATCGCAGACAGCGCGATCGGGCAGCAGAGCACAAAGAGTAAGTAAATTTAAACCAAAAAAAATATATATTTATATCATTCAAACTACAAATCTACATACGTACATATGATAAATAGATATATACATTTTCAATGCATATATAAATATATACAAAACAAAAAAAATATATCTGTGTTACAAAATACTTGTACGAATATAAAAAAAAAATCGAGTAATTAAATTATTTTTAAACATTTTAATAATTAATTATTATTTATTATTTATTCGTATTTCAAGTAAAATTTCAAAAGAGCAAGAAGCGCGGAAAATTCAAAATAATATTTAATAATTAATTTAAATTTTTTAAACGTTTCATTCTGAAATGCATAAATTAATGAAATTACATGGAGATGACATTACTTTGCGACAAGGTGACAACGTTTGACAATTACAAGAAGAACAAACTCAAATGCCGAAAACTTACTCACATGCACATCTTCCAATGATTAGTGTCAGGGTTGCGCAAATATTAGTTTAACATGGAAAAACTAAATGAATATTTGCAATTTTGAAATTTTTAAATTTTGTGACTTTTACTAAAAACATTTAAAATATTTATGTAATTTTGAAATGTTTGTGAATGCAATGAAAGCCTTACTCCTGATGTTAATGCATTCGGTCGGTACTAAAAGCTGTCAATAGGAAAGCACTTGTAACTATGTCTGCAATAATAGATCGATTAGTTTTCAGTTTTCAGTTTTTAGTTTTTGTTTCTTTTCTTTTTTTTGGGTTTGTATTTAAATATATAATTTCAGTTATATTTTTGCTTTTAAATGTCAATCATTAAAGTGCACATGCGATAGAATTGATGCGGTTGTAATATACACAAGGAGCATCCTTGACTTTCTCTGAACCTTCTTGCCTAATGCACATTTCCAAATGTAAACATGGGTGCGGATATGCCATCTGCATTTCCGTTAAAACAAATAAACTTATTTAAATATTTGAAAACACTACAAAGGCAAAGGCAAGGAATTGAAAATTAAATTTGGTAAACTGTTTTACTTTCATTAAGATCTGCCGACATAGATAACACGATAAATTTGAAATAACCACGTTATGACTGCTCGTCACATACCAACCAGCAAATGTCCTATGTCCTTTGAGAGCTGATCATTAAGAGAATATGAAGATTTCATTGATGCATTTCTTAAGGATTTTTATTTATACTGCAAAAAGGATGTTGCCTTGTGGACATATGTGGTTCTGAACAAATATTAAAAAAAAACATTATACATTATACATTATCTGCTTCAAATTTATTAAATGTTAGCATTGAGGTTTCCAGTAGTACATTCACATAGAAGTATTTTGATAAATAAAAAGTAGTATTTCATTCACGTGATAAATATTTCATTCAATACTTTTTAATTGAAATTCAGCCATATCAAATATTTTATTAAAAAAATTCGGTTTGCCAAGGAAAGAATATATTAGAAAATATATTTTTTAGGCAGTGTTTTAGTAGTGCTTAATCCCCCTGTGTATTCCCATATTTTAAATATCGATATTGATCATTTAACAAAATTTAAAAATATTTAATATTCATTATAACTCGTACTATGTAGGGAATGCTATACACTACGACTGAGATAATTTATTATGCTAACTACAGTGGTTTTAATCGATCCTTTGACTTTTAATGAAGTCTTAAGCTCGATTGATATTGTTCTGTTCCATATTCTATATAAGGACAATAGTATGCCACTATATCACAGAAGTGACAAATAATCCTTGATTATATAAATATTAAGTAAATATTGTTGATATAGTAGTATCAACCAGCAGAGTACTGCCGGCAAATCTGTATATATTTTAATATCTTCTCCATTTAGTGTAGACAGTGTGTTTGAAACTGCATTGGAAAGAAAACCTTTATTACCTTATACGGAATCAAATGCTTATCATATAATATCATAAGTTCCAGTGCACTGCATCTACATAGATCATTGAATCCATTTTTTTTCTAACAGCTTTTTGCATGTTTCCCAATAGTCTTTTGTGAGTTTTTGTCCTTTTTTCAATTTTTTCTTTTATCGCCCAAACATTTAAATCATGATTTAGCTATATATAAATATCATATCATACTTATTTTTAGAGCATTCAAATAAAAACGTTGTACTACTATTTCCAAATTACAATTTTAGGCTCTTCTGAGAGTTGAATCCTATAAATTCTAATCGGTTTGAGTCTCAAATGTACCCAAAAGTGAAATAGGTGAGGCTCGCTGATATATAAACGGTTATAAATACATGCTATATATATATATATAAAATATTTTATGTTTCATGTTTTAAACAAAAATTTTATAAATTTTCTTAATTTTAAAATATTTTTGAATAGTAAAATTAAATTAATGATGTGATGTCATCATTAAAAGTGCTGTAACAGTAATAGTATCTAATGTTGATATATAAGTTATGTACAATAGATATATGTAGGACCCAAAAACCTTAAAATAAAATTTTTAATCATTGAATGTTTTGTATTAAAGAAATCATTAAATCATCAAAGATTGTTTTTATTATATATTTTTTATATATTCATTTTACAAACAAAAGTCAACTCTTGAAATACCAATAAAGACAAATATTTGTATTGCATTAAAATAAATTTACATTTGAATACACAAATTTTTATATTAAAATCAGGAATCAAAATGCCACATAAACCACATCCTTAAACAAAAAAAAAAAAAGAAAAAAACAACAAAGTAAAAAGAAAAATATTTAACTTAACTTAGTCAATTTTAACGAAGGAATAATCGATAATTTTTACCCTTAAAGCCAACTAAACTTGAACCTAACCTTAAAATATACAAAGAACCAACTTACATACATCGAGTAAATGAAAATACAAGTATATAGAAGTAAACAAAAACTATATTAACAAAATGCACTGGACGTATGTATTATATATTGAAGCTTATTAAAAACAAAAGGAAAAATATTACTGGAAACAAAATATCAAATTACAATTTTGTCTACTTTTTGCGACACTTAATAATGACAAAAGATACTTGGGCGCACTGAAGGGGGAATAAGTTTGAACACAAGCTGCACATGTGAATAAATGAAAATTAAATAAAATAATACCATATTTTCCTCAAAATTAGCAAGGCATAAACTATATAAAATTAAATAAAATAACACCATATATTTTCCTCAAAAATTAACAACGCATAAACTACTGTTGTGTTCATTATTATATTATTTTACAAGTTAGTTAGAGAAATACATTCTGTTATATGGATAGTATATGAAAAGGGTACACTTTATGAAATTGAAATGATTATAGTGTTTGTAATTTTCTTATTTCAATTTAACCATTAAGTTTATTGATGGGAATTTATACTTTATTTTATATTTTAATACATAACTAAATAACGTCCCTCTTTTATTTTATAATTCTATAAAAATAATAATATACTTAAAAATTTCTTTACGTCTTCATCACAGTTTAAACTCAAACAAGCCATAGATCGTGAACACACTTAATACAGACTATTCTTGTTAGTTTATAAAAACGTTTAAAAATTTTGTGAAGATTCTCAAAAATTAAAAAAAAAATAAAAAAATTCAAGGACATTGAATTTAACGATGTATGCGTAAAATTTTCTCTTCCATGATTTCTTTCATATGAAAATTATTAAACTTATTTATGTCACATTAAATTAGGCAAGAAAACAGTAATTATGGATACACAAAGATACTTCTATGTGGGTGGCAATTAATTTTTTTTAATAATAAGATTTTTTTGTACTTTACCTCTTCGAAATGGTTTGTGGATCTATAAAAAGTGAATAAAACAAAATAAACATTAAACGAACATAAGAACAACTTTACCAGTTTCAATTTTTAAGCTCGTCTTAATACTGAATGAAGTATTTACAATAATGTGGAAGTTCATTGATGGGGAATTAATAAAACTTCTTAACTTTGTTTTATGCAACAAGCACAGTAGCGAATTTATCAAGATGGGGAGTTAACAAATATGACTAACGATGTTTTTAATTAGAAATAATTTAAAATTAACTAATTATTACAAAAAAAATAATTTTCTATAATTTAACAGAATAATTTAATAATGAATCTTTTCATACGTTTCTATAACAAAACATATTTCATGAAATTTTTTTCCATAAATTTTTTAAGAGTCCGTCACTGTAATTTCAATTTATATAGCTGACCAGTCAATTCTTTAGTCCGTTAAGTAGGTTCATTAGTTTGGAAATATATGATCGGATTATGAGTGATCGTCAAGTGATTATTGTGTGGGGATCTTATGTTTATATTCGGATAAAAAATTATAAACGGAAGAACATTGGAAGCATTATTTGATATGGATTTTGTTACAGTTTTGTTATAGAATAATAGTATAAATAAAAATTTATTAATAAAGCGAGCAATAAATTTAATTACTAATGAAACTTCCGCTTTTGATTTAATGTTCGTTTATTATTTCTATATTTTATTAACGAATTTTTGGATTTTTTTATGGAAAAATCCAACTATAGTTATGTTTTGTAGTACGTCACATATTATATACTTCAACATTGTAACAATTCCTTAAAAATGTGAATCGTAACACGATCAAGCAGTTATCGCAGAAGTGTTAAAACAGCGGATGTTTACATATTTTTTTACGCTCCTTGAAATGTGTTTATTTTCCTACCATGTGGAATAATGGGATGAATACTTTAGTGTCAAGTGCTGGGAACTTGTTTCGGTTATAAGGCAAATTTGTATTTGTATTTTTTATTTTTCTTAATATTTAAACCAACTTAAGATGTTTGTATATTTCAATATAAATATATATAAAAAATAACGTGGAATTTATGTAGTTTAGTGTCTCACTAAACACTGTGTCTTCTTTACTGTACTTTACACACCTTACTAAATTTTATAAGACAGTTATATTAAATATATATCAATAATGAATAAACTCAGAAGTAAGCTCTTGCGTGGTGATTTGTCCAATATAGTTCAGTAAAAAATGGATA